ATCTGCTTATGGTTCTCATCAAGTGCTTGTTAGTTATCAACCTTCTGCCCTGGGCTGCCAGGGCCTGGGGGGAACCAGGGCCTTGGTCACTGCTGTCTTTTGCTGTGCACCCTCCATGCACGAGTGCTGGACCGCTGGGGTAAGGGTGGGCATCTCTGTTTCCTTCTCCTCTCCTTGCAGACTGAGTATCGGAACAAATGTGAGTTTCTTGTTGGTGTTGGGGTGGATGGGGAAGACAACACGGTCGGCTGCCGGCTTGGCAAGTACAAGGGCGGGACGTGTGCTGTGGCAGCCCCCTTCGACACCGTGCATATCCCTGGGGCCACCAAGCAGGTGGTGAAGGCTTTCCAGGAGTTCATCCGGTGAGGACACGTGGCTGGGCTGGTGGCTCCGGGACATCCCGAGGCAGTCTGGGAGCAGAAGACCTGGGTCCTATCTGGGGGGTTTGGTGGGTGTGGCTGGAGGAGAGAGCAGGGATGCTGCTCACCCTTTCTTGGTCGGCAGATGTCAGGGACTTAGGGCCATCTGTGGCTCCCACAGGTCCACTCCCTACTCGGCGTATGACCCGGAGACGTACTCGGGTCACTGGAAGCAGCTGACCGTGCGCATCAGCCGCCGTGGCCAAGCCATGGCCATTGCCTACTTCCACCCGCAGGTCTCAAGCGGGTGGCTTGCTGCGGGAGGGGTGTCTGGGCCAGAGCAGACTTCGACACAGTCTTATGGGCCTTTTCTACTGCCTGCTCCAGAATCTGAGCCCTGAGGAGCTGGAGGGACTGAAGGCTTCTTTGGCACAGCACTTCATGGAGGGGTCAGGCAAGACCAGCGGGGTGACTTGCCTCTACTTCGTGGAGGAGGGACAGCGGTTAGTAGTCCAGGTGGGGCTGGGCGGGTTTCTCCGAGGACTGGTGACACCGATAGACCCACCTTCCCGCCCACAGAAAGACCCCCAGCCAAGAGGGCCTGCCTCTGGAGCATGTGGCCGGGGACGAGTGCATCCGCGAGGACCTGCTGGGGCTGACCTTCCGGATTTCCCCTCACGCCTTCTTCCAGGTGACCAGATCCCTGGGCTCCGGGCTGGTGCAGCAGAGAGGGGAGAGCATCCAGGCAGGGAGCTGCCAGGGCTGTGAGGTCGGCCACCTGGAAGAAGGGCTACTAACCGTGGCCACTCGCTAGACCCTGGTGACCACCCTGTGGGAGGGTGGCTTGTGGGCACGACAGCAGGCTATGGCGCTGGTGGGGTCTGGTATCTGCTGCTGCAGGGGTCCCATGGGTCCAGCTTTCAAGGAGGTGGGAGGGGGGCAGCATTGAGTTGCTTTCTTGGGCCGCGAGACTGGGTGTGGACGGAGGGGCCCTGGGGCCATCAGGCAGTTAGAGGTGGAGAAGGGAGTTGGGGGGGGGGCGACCAAGAGCACAAGTGCCTGGGGATGCAGACACTGGGGGGCTGGAGGGCAGCGGATAGGCTGCTCTGATGCGTAACCCACGCCCAGGTGAACACCCCCGCGGCTGAGGTGCTCTACACGCTCATCCAGGACTGGGCCCAGCTGGACGCAGGGAGCACAGTGCTGGACGTGTGCTGCGGCACCGGCACCATCGGCCTGGCTCTGGCCCGGGTGAGCCCTCCTACCCCGGTCAAGAGCATGCTCTTCCCCCACCCCACCCTTGTGTCGTCACCCATCTTGTCTGTCATGACCCCCCCTTAAGATAACCTCAGACTGTTCCAGGTCCTATTCCGCTGCCCCCAAGAAGGTCCAGGGGTGGGGAGGGGCGCCATCAGTCTGACTTGTTTTTGCTCCAGAAGGTAAAGAGAGTCGTGGGGATCGAGCTGTGCCAGGAGGCTGTGGAGGACGCCCGGGTGAATGCCCTGGACAACGGTGAGAGCCAGCGGGCCTCGCGATGGGTGGCAGGCCCTGTGCGTCCCTCCACCGGGCACCTGGGACCCACCCAGTGGCTCCTAGGGCTCATGGGGTGGGGGCAGAAAGGGCCCCTACTGTGTGGACCTATTGTGCGCCCACGATGCCTGGGGCTGCCCCGCAGGGAAGGGTTTTCCTGAGCCGTCTTCTGGGGGCTTCTGGACATGGCCAGGCAGATCTCTGGAGGCTGTCCCGGGCCTCATGGCGGGGCTGCTGCTCTGTCACCTCCAGAGTTGAGCAACGTCGAGTTCCATTGCGGGAGGGCCGAGGACCTGGTGCCTACACTGGTGAGCAGACTGGCATCCCAGCAGCTCATGGCCATCCTGGACCCACCCCGCGCCGGTCTACGTGAGTGGTCTCCACCTGAGGAGTGGTGTGGGGAGGCAGAGGGTGGCCCACTAGGCTGCCTGGTCTCGGGCCCCTGTCCACTTCTTGAGGGGGAGCCATTGGGGACTCTCCCTTGAGGGGTCTGTGCCTCCCCAGATTCCAAAGTGATCCTGGCTGTCCGCAGAGCTGAGAACCTCAAACGACTCCTATATGTCTCCTGCAACCCCCGGGCAGCCATGGGCAACTTTGTGGAGTGAGTGTGGGGCATGGGTGGACGGGGGCCTCACCCCAGGAGACCCTGCTGTACTCATGCATTTGACCATGGCACTCCCTCCCACACAGCCTCTGCAGGGCCCCGTCGAACCGGGTGAAGGGCAGTCCCTTCCGGCCAGTCAAGGCTGTGGCCGTGGACCTGTTCCCGCAGACCCCACACTGTGAGATGCTCATCCTGTTTGAGAGAGTGGAGCACCCCAATGGCATGGGGGCCCTGGAGCCCCAGGATCCTCCAGTCCAGCCCCCACCAGGGCCCCCAGGTGACACCCCACCAGAAACCAGGGCCTCCCCCGCTTCTTAGTCCTCTGGGGCAGCGGAAACCAGCTCTTCCAGAACAGCACCCAGACTGCATCGTGGGCAGAATCCTGGGGCTCCCCAAGTCCTTGCCCTGCTCGGCCTGGCATACTCAGGCAATAGCCACAGAGGGTACTAGACCCCTGTCCCCATGGGCTCCTGTGGCCTGCTCCTCCCTCACCCCCAAAATGGGCCGCAAGGGCTGGAATAAACAAGTGCTGAACTACCAATGTTTGTGATAAGAACTCAGAGCCTGGCACACAGGGACTCTCCTCTACCCTCACCACAGGTGCAAAGGGGCAGGGCCAGGAGCGCTCATAAGAACTGGCCCAGTTGGAACAGTTCTGCCAGCTCTTTGCGTGGCCAAAAGTCCCGGTGTCCCAGCAGAGAGCCTGCCGTCTGACAAGAGACACAGTCCTTGTGGCCATGGGCCAACTGTACACTTGACATGGGGAGCACAGAACAAGATGCTGCCCTATTGCCCTTCCCCACCCTCATTGCAGTCCCATCCCCAAAGGGACATACCTCCCAGTGACCACAAGAGCTAGGGGTGGGGTTGGGGCACCACTTAGCTGCTCTGGCCTTCAGGGCAGCTCTGGTCAATTAAGGACTACCCCATGGCCAGAAGAAAAACAGACCAGCCATTTCCTTTTGGACATTTTGCTTTATGCATTCAGACAATCAAGGCTCACCCCTATAGCCATGGCCCAGCTGCCACCTGGGAGGTACACGAAGGGTGGCGGCCACCCAGAAGTGGCCTCAGCACAGGCTCCCCCTGCCCTCTCAGTACGGCTGTGTTCACAGGATATTTGCACCCATACACAGGACAGAGGAAGGAAGGACTTGGGGAGGCCTCAGTGAGGCTCACCTGCCTCCAGTGTGCACAAAGCTTTGGTTCGAGGTGGTGCATCTGACTGTTTTAAGGGCAAAGTTATTAGTCAAATGGTTATTCACAACTGCAGACAGGGCATGACAGAAGCAAGTGTGTAATTATAGCAACTTGATTTGCGGACTCTTTTACAAAGGTCGGCACAGGCGCCAACCTCAGTCACGGGGGGTGGCAGGGCATAGAGAATACTGTCTCCTGTAAAACCACCACCCACAGGGGAGGTGTCCAGCATTGTGCCATGAGCACACGGTGCCCTGAACAGGTGCCAGGGGCGGGGAGCCAACGGCTCACAACCAACTTGGACTGCTGGGACTCAGTGGGAACAAATCTACCCCACACCTGTCCATAGGGGCCACCTAGTCACCTGGCTGCACCAGACGGCTGCTCTCAAAACCCAATGCCGCCCCAACATGCTCGCACCAGCTCTGGACAGGAGCACCAGCATGTGAACGCACTGCACTGAGGGTCCACGTTTCCTCTCAAGTCCACGAGCTAAAATGCATTAACTGTTCACATCTGCTACATGATTCCAAATCTATCTTCTACTCACTGTAAAAGTTTCTTTCCAAACGCTAAAATATCATAAAAGCTTTAAAAATTGATGGGTGGACAGACTTGACTGCAAAAATTTAGTAAAAAATTGCCAGAGGCCAGTGAAGGTGAGGGGCCTCAGTGTCTAAGAAGGCATGTTTTGGGGGCATTAAGACTTACTCAGGAGAATGGACTGCACCCCCCAGCCCAGGCAGGGGCAGCAAGCTGGGCAGGGACAGGTGCCTTCATCCACGTCACAGGCAATGCATTTCAAGGCAAAGAATGATCACCTTGGTGGTTTGCCTACAGCCTCTGAAAAATAGTTCTGATACTAAGTTGTGTTTATTTTAAACCAAAGAGGTCTGAAATACTCCTTCCTAACTATAACTTTTTCAGAGAAAAAAGGAAAACCCAGGAGGCAGGGAAGGGGATGGGGTGCCAGCGTGCACCTTCTGGCCAGGTCCCTACGGTGCCCGCGGGAGCACCAGGCGCAGGACTTTCTCATTTCATGTCATCCGACTATCATTTCTTTTCAGCGCCTGTTAACATACTAAAATTCATGAAAACCTTCATAACACCAGTCTGCAGCATGTCCACACAAGCAGAGGTCCATGGCGACCTCCCACCTCTCTGTGTCCACCTGTGTGGCAGGCTGAGTCGATGCTTTAACATGGCCACCTAGACCTGTGGGTGGCCCCCAAGGAAGAGCTGCGTGGACCTGGCTGTCAGACACGCAGTGGCAGGGGACCGTGGACTGGAGACCCGGGGCTGCAGAGTGAGGGCAGGTCTCCCCCACAGCGGAGCTGGCAGCCCCTGAGCCCGGACCACTAGCCATCACACGTCCACAGTGCACAGGGGCTCGCCGCCAGGCTGCGCAGATGCCACGATAGACATCTTGGGCTTCTTCCGCGTCTCCTCCTGGAAGAACAGCCAAGGTCAGGGATGTAGGCGACATGGGAACCTGCAGCCCAACCTCGGTGAAAGGCCAATGGCGGGGCTGCAGGATGTGCGCGATCGCAAGGCACCACGTGCTGGCACTTCTGTGGGCATCAAGACGCATGCCCGGGAGTGGAGGGTCAAGGAGGTCACAGCCACCAGGGGTTTGAAGCTGCCCCGACAAGCCCTACAGGGACCCCACATCAGCGCACAGGAGGCCAGGGCCACCAGCTCTCCAGCACTGCCACAGCCCGAGGGCATGCGGACAGGCCTCACCCTCTCCTCCGCCAGCCTCCGCATCTCCTCCTGCAGTTTGCTCAGGATGTGCAGGTTGGGCTTGTTCTTCCGGGCAAACTGCTGCAGCTCGATTACACTCTTGTCCGACGTCTCCTGGGGAGCAGAGCCCGCTCGCAGGACCGTCTGGGGTCATCCCTCCCTTGACCCGCCTGGCTGGCTGCCTGCCAGCTGTTCCCCACTTCTGCCACTGCCTCCTGCACGGGGTGCTCCCCCGGCCCCCTTGGCCTCTGACACAGCCACTGGCCAGGCACTCGACATGCCCAGAGCCCTCAGGCAGGAGCAACCAGGACACAGCCTCAGCCTGAGGGACGGCACACTGCAGGACAGGACTCGTGCCGGCACTGCGGCCCCTGGGAGCCTGTGGGGCCCAGACGCTGAGCTCCCTGCAGGCCCGTCCAGGGTGAAGAAGCCGTATCTGAGGATGCCTGCTGGCCGTGGGTGCCACACTCCCCTGCCTCTGGAAGGACCCCTCGCCCGCCAGCTCCAGGGGGTTCCCACCACGGGCCCAAGCAGGCTTTCTCCCCTCACTCACAGCCCAGCACAATGCACAGAAGTAGAGCACAGACCCGAAGGCAGAGGCTCAGCAACACAGGGCCAAGCACCTTGGGGCCCAGTGTCCCCTCCCCTCCCCCACCCTGCCAGGCCGAGAGCAAGGAGCTCTTCACAGACGGCCTGGGGGTCACCACCCACAGTCCCCACCCTCCACACCCACCACTCACTGGGGTGCTGGTGACCCAGACCGTTTCTGTAAACGTCAGGGGAAAAAAATCAACATAAACCTCGCTTCCCTGTACTTCTCTCCACCCCAAACACAAAAACCTAAGGGTATTCGCTAAAATCTTGAGATCTTGGCCCAAAGAGCAGAAACAAAACAGATGACACACACGGGCTGTTGAAAGTTGGTGGCCAGGGAGAGCTGTCTGTGTGTGGTCTGCTCACTCTCCCTCTAGCCCTGGCCCGCACCCCATCCCCTCCCCATGCAGCCAGAGCCCGACTCTGCCCCTGGCCCCCTGTGCCAGCGGGGGGCCCCATTACCTGTTTGACCATCTTGCTGCTTTCACGGCCATACATGCGCAGCAAGGACCCCCAGTTCTTGACGTGTGGGTGCAGCAGCTGAAGGATCTTCTGAGAAGCTAACTGTTTCCCAACTCGCTTATTCTTGCCTGAGAGGAAACGTAGAGAGAGGGAGTCACAGATACCAGCCGTCCACAGGGCCACCTCGTCCAGACAGGGGTACTCCCGACGGGAGGGGGCAGAAGGTGCAGCCGCTGCACTGGGCACAGCACCTCAGCCCTGCCCATCCTGCAGAACAGCCCATCAGAAGCTCGGGGAGGTCAGGACACACCCAAGGCCATAGCTTATGAGGCCTCCCGGCCCCCAGCCCACATCTGCCAACACAGAGGACGCACCTGCAGGGCAGACACAGGGGTGGGGGAGCATCCAGAGGGCATCCTGTGCTGGGGACGTTTCTAGATGGAGAGAAGGTGGGGCCAGGGTGCAGAACAGGCCTGGAGAGCAGCAAGGGCCTCTGGCTCAGATGGGGGATCTATCCTATTCCCTGCCCACCTGCTCAGAGCTGGCCTCAGCAAGGAATGGTGTCTGCAGGGCACGGGGCACACCCAGGGCCTGCTTGGTCATGACCTTCTCACTTACCCAGTGCTGGTCTGTGTCTACAGTAGTTACACAAAGTTTCTTTTCAAGTAAGGTTATATCCAAACACCAGATTAGGTGAAGAGCACAGTTGGTGCCCAGCAACAGCAGAGGGCCCTGCGGGGGGCTCTGCTGCTGTCTTAGGAGGCTCCTGCTCCCTTTACAGGGACCGAGGGCTGGACAGGGGCAGTGGTGGCAGCCGCTGGGGAGCAACACAGCCCAGCCAAAATGACCAGCCCGGGGACGGGACACCCACAGCTGCACTCAGGCCAGCTGTGACTCAGATGTGGACATGGGATGCTGTGGGCACAACCGTGGGCAGTCAGCATACAACTGAGGCTCGGCTGATGCCAGGGCAGTGGTCCTCGGGATCACTGAAAGCCTGTGTGTGGGTGTATTGGGGGAGGGGTGTGTGTCTTACACCAGCCGCGCACTGTGTGCTTGCCACACGCCATGACATATTCACTCTTCTGGTTTTTACCAGGAACCACTTCAAACTTGATGGAGGTGTCCCCCATCCCATGGTTTCTGTAGGAGAAAACAGACAGTAGGTGACATCAACTGAGGGGGAGGAAATGGCTGCTTCCAGAAAGCCCTCCACGGGCCCATCAAGACAGAACCAACCCTTCTCCCCAAACCGCTGCTCCAAGAGGAGGGACTCTCCCACCACACGCCATCCGGCCCCTTGGGTGGAAGGGTGCTGGGCACCCAAGAGAGGCCCCCATGCCCGATGGCCAGGGAAGCGCCCCCCACCCCCTTACCTTTTAAGGCACTCATGGAGGATCTGGTAGGGAGATAGCAGTCCAGCCTTGCTGGTCAGCTCGTAGACTCGCGAGTCCTCGATACTGATGTGGTTAAAATACTACAAAATGAAGCAGCCGGTCATAGTGCTGGCCACTCCCGCAGCCCCGTGAAGCAGCTCCCGTGCTGCCGCCTCCCCCGGGGCCTCCTGCCCCCACCACTACCTCTCGGAGACATTGCATCCCACATCCCACACCTCCCCACCCAGATGCCCGAGACACAAACGAGGAATAGCAAGGGCCGGGCTGCCTGCCGCTGGCCTGGGGAGCCCATCCTGAATCAGAGGCTGATCAGACGACCGGTCAGAAGTCTAAAGACACAAAACCTTCGGAAAAAAGCTTGAAAACCATCATAAGTGAGGTTATAGAAGAGAGAAAGTGACCAGACACGGCAGAACAGAAACGTGACCAAGGTTCTTAAGAGGCGACGCCCAACTGGTTCAGGGAGGAAAAAGGAAGCTGGTGGTGACAGGGGCATCGCCAGCCCAGAGGTGGCTCTGACCCCATGGCCCCCGGCTCCCACTCAGGAGTGTGGCCCCCCTCCCGGGTTGGCCATAACGCAGAACCACATGCTCCTTTGAGGCCTCTCAGGGAGGTCCCTTCCCAGACTGTCCAGCTTCTAGGGCCCCTCGGCTTGTAGCAGCATCAACCCCAGCCCTGCCCTCTTCGTATAGAAAAGCCTTGGAACCTGCTGCTCTGGCAGAGAGGGGGCTTCCTCCCCACCCAACATCAGGAGGAGGCCCTGGTTCCAGCAAGCAGGAAATCATCCCCCTCTAAGCACAACCCCGCCCCCCCAGCACCTCAATGGGTCCACCAGCCAGAGGCACCCCGAGCTCCTTAGTCAGGGTGTCTGCAGAGGCATCGCTGTGTGAGCCAGGCTCCTCAGACCCCTGGCCACGAGGGATTAACCCAACCCCCAGCACCACCCCTCCCCAGGCACTGGGGGAGGCAGAGGACAAGGCTGGAAGTCCAACCTCCGACTACATGATGGTTCCCCTGGCAACCAACCCCCATCCTCGGGGCTTCCAAAATTCACCTCCTGAACATGAACTCGGGCGTAGTTGAAGGGGTTAGAATAGAACGTTCCCTTCACTTTTATCAACTGGAACTATTTCAGGAACTGGAGACAAAAACCAAACGTTAATTTATTTACTACGTTAGAAGGTCCCACCAGGAACCAAGGACAAAGACCAAACGTGTACTTTATATCACAAACACATACACACCTAACAGCCCCAAAATACATGAAACAAAACCTGACAAGTGAAGGAAGCAATAAACAATTCAACAGTAACAGCTGGGGACTCAACACCAGTCCAGACAGAAGACCCACCAAGAACGAGAACAGCAAACCCCACACCAGCTCAACCCACAGACGCCTGTTCACTCCACTCAGAAACACACAATGCACATCCTCTCAGGCGGTCACAACACAAGCCTCAATAAACTTAAAAGGACTGACTTGAAATCACAAAAACTATGTTTTTGAACCACAATGGAATTAAGTTAGAAATCAATAACCAAAGGAAATTTGGGAGATTCACAAATATATGAAAAGTAAATGCTCCTAAAATAACCACTAGTTTAAAGAAAAAAATTACAAGAGAAATCAGGAAAATACCTTGAGACAAATGACAAAAGAAACACAACATATATTAAAGCAAAATTATGGGATGCAAAATAGTACACAGAAGAAAATTTATAGCTGTAAACTCCATATTTAAAAAGAAGACCCCAAATCAATACCTTAATCTTAAGACACTAGAAAAAGAAGAACAAACTAAACCCAAGGCTGGCAGAAAAAAAGAATAATAAAGGCAAGAGCAGAAATAAATAGAGAATAAAAAACCAATAGGGAAAAAAATCAGCAAAACCAGAAGCTGGATATTTGAAAAGACAAACAACGTTGACAAACCTTTAGTCAGACTGATCAAGAGAAAGGAAAGACTCAAACTGCTAAACATCAGGAATAAGGGACTTCCCTGGTGGCACAGTGGTTAAGAATCCGCCTGCTAATGCAGGAGACACGGGTTCAAGCCCTGGTCCGGGGAGATCCCACATGCCGCGGAGCAACTAAGCCCATGTGCCACAACTACTGAGCCTGTGATCTAGAGCCCATGAGCCACAACTACTGAGCCCGCATGCCACAACTACTGAAGCCCACGTGCCTAGGGCCCGTGCTCTGCAACAAGAGAAGCCACCACAATGAGAAACTTGCGCACCCCAATGAAGAGCAGCCCCTGCTGGCTGCAACTAGAGAAAGCCTGCATGCAGCAATGAAGACACAATGCAGCCAAAAATAAAATAAAATAAATTTATTAAAAAAAAGTTTAAACAAAAGGATCATAACAGAATACTATGAATGTGTATTTGCCAATAAATTAGATAACCTAAATCAAGTGGGAAAACCCCTAGAGACACAAAATCCCAAAAGTGGCTCAAGATGGAGTAGAAAATCTGAAGATGTATAACAAGCAAAAAGATTGAATCAGTAAATAAATAACTTCAAAACCAAGCAAAGTCTAGGCTCGGACTGTTTCACTGGTGAATTCTACCAAGTGTTTAAAAAATTAATACCGGGACTTCCTGGGTGGTCCAGTGGTTAAGTATCTGCCTTCCAATGCAGGGGACGTGTGTTTGATCCCTGGTCAGGGAACTAAGATCCCACATGCTGTGGAGCAACTAAGACAGTGTGCTGAAACCTCAGAGCCTGCGCGCCACAACTACAGAAGCCTGTGTGCTGCAACGAAGACCCAGTGCAGCCAATAAATAAATAAATAAATGAAGGAATAAATACTGTGCTTGCATGGTATATCTTTTTTTTTTTGGCTGTGTTGGGTCTTCGTTGCTGCGTGCGGGCTTTCTCTAGTTGTGGCAAGCGGGGGCTACTCTTCATTGCAGTGTGCGGGCTTCTCATTGAGGTAGCTTCTCTTGTGGTGGAGCACGGGCTCTAGGCTCACAGGCTTCAGTAGTTGTGGCACACAAGCTCAGCAGTTGTGGCGCAGGGCTTAGTTGCTCCACAGTATGTGGGATCTTCCTGGACCAGGGCTCGAACCCATGTCCCCTGCATTGGCAGGCGGATTCTTAACCACTGTACCACCAAGAAAGCATGTGGTATACCTTTAAAAAACAAAAATCAAGGGCTTCCCTGGTGGCGCAGTGGTTGGGAGTCCGCCTGCCAATGCAGGGGACACGGGTTCGTGCCCCGGTCCGGGAGGGTCCTGCATGCCGCGGGGCAGCTGGGCCCGTGAGCCGTGGCCGCTGGGCCTGCGTGTCTGGAGCCTGTGCTCCGCAACGGGAGAGGGCACAACAGTGAGAGGCCCGCGTACCGCATAGAAAAAAAAAAAATTAATACAAATCCTTTGCAAACTATTCCACACAATGAAAGAGGAAGCAACACTTCCCAACTCATTCTATGAGGCAAGTATTACCCTGATACCAACACCAAAGACATCACGAGAAAAGAAAATACAGAACAGTATCCCTTATAAGTACAGCTGCAAAAATCCTTAACAAATACCAGTGAGCCAAACCCATCAACGCATAAAAATGATTATACACTACGACTGAGTGGGATTTATCCCAGGAATGCAAGGTGTGTTTACCATTCAAAAGTCAATGAAACACCCCCCCACATCAGTAAAGTCAAAGGCAAAAACCACGAGATCATCTCAACAGAAACAGAAAAAACAAAATCCAACACCCATTCTTTTTTTGCGGTACGCGGGCCTCTCACTGCCGCGGCCTCTCCCGCTGCGGAGCACAGGCTCCGGACGCGCAGGCCCAGCGGCCACGGCCCACAGGCCCAGCCACTCCGCGGCACGTGGGATCCTCCCAGACCGGGGCACAAACCCGTGTCCCCTGCATCAGCAGGCGGACCCCCAACCACTGCGCCACCAGGGAAGCCCCAACACCCATTCTTGACAAAAACTGTCAACAAACCAGGAGTGGAAGAAACATCCTCAATCTGATAATACTCACAGCTCACACAGCACGTGAAGTGGAAGAGGCCAGTCGCAAAGGAACATACATTGTGATTCCACTGACAGAAGACGTCAGAATTGGCAAATGCAGGGACAGAAAGTAAATGAGTGGCTGCTGGGGGTTGAGGGGCTGGGAACGGGGAGAATGGGGGTGACTGCTAATGGGGACAGAGTTTTTTTTTGGAGTGATGAAAATATACTGAATGTACAAAAATCCACTGTACTGTGTAGTTTAAAAGGGAAAAACTTATGGTGTTATAAAAAAGAATGCATTCTTCAGAGTGAGAAGCCCTTGCTACAAATAACCATAGGACCATATTTACCCAAAAAACTTTACAAATAGTTTTAAATGGTTCTTAACATAAAGAACAATCTAGCTTTTGCAGCCTCTGCCTCAAAGGCTCACTCCACTTTGGATCTGCTGTCAGCGGAGCATGGCTTCCTTCCGAAACATCGGCAAGACACAAGGACAGAAATCTCTGACAAGAACATTTCCTCTGCTTGCAAAGACAAGCAGGTCTCCTCTTTGATGAAATACAAGAGATGGAGCACCTGGCACCTGGGCGATTAAACCCGAGCACAGCCTGACACCAGGGTGGGCTCACGACCCTCACCTCCAGCTCCTCACTGTCTTTGGGCTTCTCCTCAGAGGTCTGTTTAACAAAGTCTGGGATGAGGATTTCCAGCGTGGCCCGGGCTGTGGAAAGAGGAACACTGAGGGTGAGGGTGGGGTCCCCACGGCCGAGGGAGCCTGGGCCCCAGGGACAGAGCCCCAAGGGCCTGCAGGTGAGGCACAGGCAAAGGGTGTGGTGGGGAGCAGCAGCTAGGCCAAAAGGACACTCTGGGGAGGCGCCTGCAGGCCCGAGCGCAGGGGTGGCGAGAAGCCGAGTGCAGGCACCCCATGAACAGGGGTGCAAAACGAAGAGCACGTGAGGAGGAGCATGGGGTGGGGGTGGGAGGCGAGGCGCCAGCGCCATGAGGATGGTCCCACCCACTATGGGACCCTCACCGGCTTCTGCTCCGAGACCCCAGGAACACCCCACTTGTGAAGCAGGAAGAGCCTTTGCAGAGAATCTCTCTAAAATTGACGGGAGGCCTCCTGGGGACCGGGCAGAGCTTGTGAGCCCAGCACAGTTTCACACGGGGTCAGCCAGACAGTAAGGTGGGGTCCCATCACCCTCGGCATGCGCCACCAGAAGAGAGCAAGGTCCAGGGGCACTCTGAGCCCCGGAGCACAGACACTCCACCAACCCGAGACTCAGTGAGACTGCGATAAAACGCTCCGCACTCCGTAAGAGGCAGAGCTGCTCTGAAGACAATGCAGCGATGGGGGCGCCAGGGCCCGGGGTGCCCGGCATTCGCCACCAGAAGAGAGCAAGGTCCAGGGGCACTCTGAGCCCCGGAGCACAGACACTCCACCAACCCGAGACTCAGTGAGACTGCGATAAAACGCTCCGCACTCCGTAAGAGGCAGAGCTGCTCTGAAGACAATGCAGCGATGGGGGCGCCAGGGCCCGGGGTGCATCCATCACGTGCCTGCAATGTGGTCCACTCCCCAGAAGAGGCCAAATAACCCTGGTGCTGGGGCTAAGCGGCTTCTGGAAAAGCACACCAACAACAAGGAGTGCCGGGAATATAGCCAGCAGCAGGCCACGGGCAGGAGGAGCATCAGACTTCCACCAAAAACCACCAGCTTTCCCAAGGGCCTGCTTGGCTGTGTTCCAGGAGTGGCAGTCCCAAGTCTGGAGCTGGAAGGACTTGGAAAATGGTCCTCATGGACATCAAAACCACCTGAGGAAGATGCTGCCTGTTCTCCTTCTCAGCACACCCCTGCCTTGCTGGGTTTAAACAGACGGTGCCCTGGGCTCAGGCAGCACAAAGCAACCAGCATCTGTGAGCGCTGGGGACGGGGCGGGAGGCACTGGCCGAGCCATCTGAGTGGAAAAGGGCCTTCTACTTTCATTTCTCACGTTTTACTTTTTCTATTTGAATCTTTTCCAGTGAGTACATAATTTAAAAAGATCCAAGGAGATGATTACATAAATAAAACAGACTTGCCCCATCCACAGCCTTCCCTAGCCATTGGTGGGCCAACACGGGTCTCTGACACCAAGCAGGCACATTACCAGCTTTATTCTTCGCGAGTTTTTTGCTGCTTGCCGTTCCAGATCCATAGGTCACACCATCGATGGTCACCGAGGCACCAAAAGGCTCACTTGGGTTCTCTTAAAATTAAAATTACCATTTTAAAACACACTTGCCAAGACGTTAAAAGCATACGTGCACACACACAATCTGCTCACGCTGACAGACGAGGTGGGGGTAGGGCTGCTGCTGGAAGGCAGAGGCCTGCGGGGGGGTCCCTGAGGCACTGGGGTGGGGCTGAGGGACAGCCAGCAGGCAGAGAGCATGGCCAGGAAGTCGAGGGGGACAGGGACCAACGTCTGAGAAAGATGGACGGAGGAGTGCAAGGGGTGGGATGCAGACATTGTGAGCCAGAGAAGCAGGAAGACAATGGCGGACGCTGAGCTTCTGGCTTTCACTGAGGAGTGATGCGGGCGGCCAGAGGACAGCCTGTGGCCATTGCAGGGCTGCAGCCCCTCCACCCTCGGAGGCGCAGTGGGAAGGGGGTGCGGGGAGGTGACCATCTGATCCCCCTCGACCTCCCCTCTCGTTCTTACCCAGCAGAGGGGAATGACAGTCAGCTCCCGCCTCCCCAGCAGTGACTCCAGTGACGTGCTTGACGCTTTAGGAGTGAGATGGGGAAGGTCACACTCACCACATTCAAAGAAGTTGTACACAGGGCGGACCTTGAGGACGCGCTGCATGTACTCGTGCAGGATGCAGACCTCCGACTTCCCATTGGGGTTGATGACAAACTCTGTGACAAGAGGGGCCGTCTCAGCAACAGCGGGGGCTGCAGTGACCACACCCCAGCCCGCGGGAGAGGACCTCTGCGCCGCAGGGCAGACACAGGCCGATGCAGCACCCTTGGAGCACACATCCCAGGAACATCAGACCTGCAAGTCCTGCTCACCTTTCTTCGTGGGCGCGTCCTGCACAGACAGAGTGATGAGCTTCTGATTGGCCGGCAGGATGGGCCTCTCTGACTCAGCCTGTTTTCGCTTCATTTCTCGGTTGAACTGCCGACGCTCAGCCCAGGTCCTGAACTTCTTCACGGTGACTTGCTCGAAGTCAAAGCGCTTCTCCAGGTAGTTCCGAAACTCCTCGAGGTCTATACGGGATTCACCAGAGGCCCAAGTCACGGGTGGAGGTCACGCCCTCCACCCGGTGAGCAGGACAGGTCCCAGCCACACGATACCCCCTTCCCCTTTCCTCTCCAAGGGCGAGGGAAGTAAAGAATCACGTCCCTTCATTCTGCCAGCTCAAATTACCCTGCCAGGTCCCCTAGGGACAAATTTCTGGCATGTCCTTTAGTTTATTTAGAGCAAGAATAAGAATACAAAAATAAAAAAACAAAAAGGAACCTAAAAAAAAAAAGCCAACCACAACCAGCCTTTGGGACCTTTCTCCCCATATGGAAACAGGTGCTGGACGGCCAGCAGCAGCCGAGGCACCACGTGCCCACCATGGCCGCCCCCACGCCCTGCAGCAAGTAGGCAGCTCAGGGCCATGGCACTTGTTCCACCTCTCCCCCAGGACCCCAGGGCTTCCCATCAGCCTTGCTGGCGCCCTGCCTGCACCCCTCCTCCCACCAGGCAGATGCCTGAGATTCCACGTGAGCTACAGAACAACGTGCTTGCACACTTAGTGACAAACCAAAACCACATAGTTCTTTATATGTGAGTGCAGAGAAGCGAGTCTGGAAACAAGTGCCATGAGGTCAGAGGTGGGAGGCACTTGTTTTCAGAAAAACAGGAGCACACTCCGGTGTGTCCTGCGTGTGCGGAAGGACGGTGTGAAGAGGCAGACCGTCAAGTTAGAGTCTTATAGGGAGGGCTCCCTTCCAGCTGTGTCCCGAGAACAGCCCACCCGCTGACAGAGCTGGCTGGGATGGGGAGTCAGACACCACTGTCCCCCTCCTCAGCAGCAGCCCCAGCCCCTCACATGCAGGAGTTCCCAGACAGGCCGGGCAGTAGCACAGAGTGAGAGACCCCGAAAACGCATGGGGGCTAAGACAGCCTGCCACCATGGAAGAGATGCAGGAGGGACAGGGAGGAACGCCCCACACCTGAGAGCAACTGAGGGTCTGAGAAGGGGGCGGCATCCACACCACGTGGTGGAGATGCCCACTCTGCGCACTGGTACACCAGGACTCCATGCGAGCATGTCCCATTTTCATGAAACGCAAGACTTGAGGAAAGATTGCGAACATGACCAGAGAAAAAGGCCACCTGCAGGGCAGCACCAGTGTGCGGGTCGGGAGCAAGAGGTCAGCAGGCAGAATCTCCTAAGCTCAGGGAGACGGCCTCTCCAGCCATGCGGGAGTGGACAGGCAAGCACGGACAGGTCCCTTCCTCCTCAGGGACCAAGTTCACTCTGGAAACTTACCAACTGATTCATCTTTGCACACTTCCACCTTGGCCTTCACTTGCCCCAGGGCCCCGGGGGCAGCCTCGGCCGCCAGTGGATCCTTCTCATCTGGGGGCCCCAAGTCAGCCCCCAAGGAGTCGGGCTCTTCCAGCGGGAGCTCCAGCTCTGCAGATCGGCTCAGGGGCTTGGCAGGAGATACCTCCCCACAGGGGGCAAGCTCGCTGTTTTGCTCCCTTTCCTCATTGTCTTTCATTTTCTTGTAATGCAGACAGGGGATGCTACTCAGAGGAGGGTCATGTTTCTGTGGACAGTGAAATTGCAACACAGATTACAAGGATGGCCCCAAACATCTGAACGTCCGATGCCGTTCACCTGCCTGTCTGGCTGCAATGCAATGTGGGCAGACATGCATGCTCCTCCTGCAACTTACGAGACTAAATTCATGACTGATGTGTCCCCTACCCGTATGCTTCCCGTTCCCAAGAAGTATGGCCTGGACCAGGTGACCACCCGAGACTCTCGGTGCAGGTACACGGGGACTCCAGAGTTATGGAACGTCATGATCCACCCGTCCGGCAGTGGTTCCGTAGGTGGACGGCCACGACCTGCACAGAAGACAAGAACACCCTGCAATCACTTAAAGACACTTGTAACTGAGTAAGAACTGTCAGGACGTTTCCAAAGTTACAACCCGTGTCAGAAACAACAGCAAGGTGGACCCAACGTTACAGAGAACCTCTAAAAAGTAGGAGTGGGGGAACACCCCGCCCTCCACTAGAGAAAGCCCCACCTGCAAAACTCTGCTCTCCCTCTGCTGCTGTGCCTGTCCCTCTGGGTGTGACCCACAGGCTACAAGTCCCTCCGTGCAGCAGGAAGCTGTCCACCCTGCTCACTGCTATACTCCCCAGCCTAGAACGGCACAGGCACACCACGGAGCCTAGAACAGGGTTCTGCAAGACACAGGGCCTCGCCACAGCTCTGCCTCCACGGCTGGCAAGCACCGTGGACAATGACTCCCCGCCCGCCTCCCACAGGTGTGGCCAGAGGCACCGCAGGGCCTGGGTAGGCTTCACTAGTAACTGCACATCTGTGGATCACTGCTCCCTGTGACCAGGTGACAAGCCTGTGCTGTTTGAGCTGCTACTGACAGCCCTGGCTGCTGAAAAAAGCACATGGCAAAGACTTAAGTAAAACTTATTTTTCTTACAGGTATTGGGAACAAATTAAAAATTCAGAAATGGAAGTGAAAAACCAAGTGAAATCTAAAAAGACACATAGGAGATGAAAACAGCACCAGCTACTCTCACAGAAAAGGGAATGACACCCTTGTGCCAAGTCTGACACCCACACGTGGCCAACACCAGCAGACACCTGTGTCAGGACGACCCTCGGAGGGAATGTGAGGTTGGACACGCACAAACCCCGTCAGGCACCCCCATGCCCACCGCGGGCTGGGCTGGGAGCTGTCTGCAACCAGCTATGGGCTAAGTAAGGAGAAGGAGGCACTCACACAGCTCAAGCTGAGCACATCATGGGACAAGGCATGTCTGCGATAGTGAGCTGTCACAGAGTTGGCCCAGCTGCCCGGAGAGCTCGCGTGCATCTCATAGTCTGTTACTGTTCCTGTTGCGGCCCACTTGGCAGACGCGCGGCCCAGCACTGCCAACATGTCCGCTCCGCAGCCAGGAGACTGTACGTCGGCCACCCTCGGTTTCCTCCCATCACGCTGGCCACCTGCGCTGGTGCTCAGCAGAAGATGTAACCTGTGTGCCTGAGTCCTGTGTCCCTCCAGCCCCTTTCCACCGCCCACCTGACACCTCCACCTAGACACTGAGAGGCGCCTCCAGGCCAAGACAGAAACAGACACGGAGACCCCTCAGACCTCTCCGCATCAGCAGGGGGGCTGCACGGGCCAGCTCTGGGCACCCCCTGACTGCTCCCCACCGTGTCTCCAACCCCTCCACCTCTGCCCACTCAAAAGTGCAGGAGTCACACGTGCACTGCGAGCCGTGCTTTCAGACCAGACTGTGGAACAAGTCCTACTTGCTTCCAGTGGCTCCCCCGACACTTGGCACTGAATCTAGAACCCAGACTGCAACCATCACCAGCCACCGTGCCGAGCACCCGCCTCTGGGCCCAGCATCCATACCCCTGGATGCCCCCTCCCCAGGGATCTGCCCAACCCCCTCAGAAGGCCTCTCCCCGCCACGCCGCACAAGCCCAGCTGCTCTGGTTTCCACAGCACCTGCACCACTTGCAGCTGGGCCATCATGCATCTGGGTGTGTCCTCACATCTTGTCTGTTTCCTGTCACCAGACAGGGCCCTCCTGGCCTCAGACGCACACCTGCTGCCTGACACCGAGGGCTCTCATGCCCATACATGCAAAGCCCCGTGAACACTCGCTACTTCCTGGCCTGACTTACTTTTGAGCACTGTTTTAATCTTGGTCATCATTGGCTGCACACTTGTCTCTCCGTCTGATGGGTGGTCGCTGTCTCCTCCGTATTTCTCCTCCATCCGCCTCTTTTTGGGAGCACAGAGGCCCTCTTCCAGCAGAGCGTCAACATCGTTGTCAAAATCATCCTGCAAAATATGCTGTTCAGACACCACAGCCCCCCCGGTGCCCTCCAGGCAAGTGCCACAGTGTCACTGACAACGACACAGAAAGGAGGCGCTCTCGGGGGCCTAGGTGTGCCTCTATGTTGCGTGATCATCTGAAAAACAAATGGAATGAAACCGCCAACTGAAGCACACGCTCAGGCAGGTGCCCATGCCACCAGGGAGCGTGGCTGGCAGCTCCTTCCAACTCAGTTGGGACAAGGGTACGAGGCAGACCTGTCAGCCAAACTTTTCATTAGCAAAGTTTGAAAACCTGGACTCTTGACGGCTTTCTCTTTTCACATTTACGTTTCCACCTCCTGTGGGTGTTCTTTCCTCTGCAACATCAGCTTTACAGAGATGCTGCGATTCCCAAACACCTCTCTTTGGGTTTTGCTAAGAGTGCTCCAAAGGAGGGGACACCGACATACCTCGTAGGAGAACTTCAAGGCCTCTTCGTCCACTCTGTCTCTCTGCACGATCGCTTTAGCCGTGAGCCCGCCTGCTCCTTCTTCATCTAGCTCCAAATTGTCAGTAAAATCTTCTAACTCATCCAGCACTGCGTACTCCACTCTCTTTTCCTGATCCAGCTCATTCTCCTCATCCTTCTTATCCGCACTCTCACCCCCTACGCCTACCCCGTTACCAACACTCCCGCCAAAGGGACAAGCATGCACGTCTCCACTGACAGGGCTAAGGGCCAGACTGCACTCTGCCCGCGCGTCGCGCTCCGCTCCCGTGTACAGCACCTTCCTGTCCTTACTCCTGCAGCTCTCGGTAAAGCTCACGCTAATCTTTACATCCTTAAGCAACTTAAGGTCAGGGGAGAACTTCCGGACCGCAGGTGCGTGCCGGGCGGTGCGCGGGCTGTGGCCACTACAGTTCGGGTCTACGAGGAGGCGGGCCTTAGAGAAGGATCCTTTGGAGAGAAGAGAAGCTCCGTAGAAGTTGAGCGGGTCCTCAGCACGGGGTTCGGCCTGTCCATCACCACCAGAGCCAACGTCCATTACCTCTGCATCACTGGACGTTTGCAGGGGAGGTGGTGGAGACTGTCCACGGGGCAGCGCTCGGAGGGGGCAAGCTTGGTTCTCCATCACCACTCCTCCTGCGGGCTCACGCGGGAGAGGAGAGGGGCTCTCACATGTCTCCATAGTAAAAGTGGTTAAGACTATTTTAAAAGACCAGAGTTTTAAAAAACCTTACATAAATCTATACAGCTAACATGCACAAGTCCGTCGAGACCCGGGTGCCGTCCTGCCCGCGCTGCACACGCTGGCGGCTTAGTCAAGCTGGCCACATTGCTCTTTTCATTAATGTAGACAGCTTTTAGAACCACTGCCTCAATTATTGGAAATCACAATGCACTCAGCTTAAATGACTGAAGACTAAGCGAGTCTGTCCTCAAGCCGGAGGGGCACCCGTCTTCCTCCACCTGCAAAGAGACGTAAAGGCATCGTCACAACGCGACAGAGCCCTCCGTGTCCTGGTACCAAGAGCCCAGTGCTATTGACAGAGCAGTGAAAACTTAAAAGAATGCTGCCCAAAAAGAGAACCTTCTATGCTTCAAAACAATCGAACTTTACTTTTTTCTTCAGAACCTAAATTGTACCTTAAGTCCCAAATTAAATACTTTATTAATTGTCCACTGTAATTCCAACTTGAGAAGCACAAAAACCATATTATGTTTAGGCTCAAAAAGGATTAAAAAAAAAAAATCCTCCACTAAACTTCACCGCAGCACCCCCTAACTCAGTTTACAAGGCAAACCAGCATGCAATGCAAGGCTGCCCTTTCCAGAACACACAGAAGGTGTGCGGCTTCCCTCCAGCACCAGAGCGACATGGATCCACTCACCTGCGAGGGCCGGGTCAGTCAGAGGGCAAGCGGGAGACCCTTGGCTCAACTCTGCGGCACTAGGGCCAGGGGCTCTGTCACCCGGGACCCTGGGGCACGTGGATGGGGACAGTGATGCAGCGGGCTGGGGGAGCCAGAGGTGGCGTGGTTCTGTTCCCGGGAGAGGTAGGGGTGGTGGCCGCAGGGAAGGGAGCCCAGCCAGGGTGGGTCGGGGGAGCCGCAGGAGACAGCTGGAGCCAAGGCACAGGGAGTCCTGGGAGCCGCCCGGAGCCTGGCTCCATCCTGGGGGGCAACAAGAAGCCACCGGGAGTGAAGGGACCCTCAGGCCACAATTCAGTCCCTACTCGAGAAGGGAGGCCAACAGCTGTGCCAGGCACGGTGCCCGCGCCCTCGAGAACAGCAGAGACACAGAGTTGACCGCACTGCTGAGCGGGCAGAGGTGGAGAGCTGGGACAAGGGGGCCCTGACGACCAATGAGGCCTCTCCCCAGAGGGACAGTCAAGCAGGGCCTGCAGAGGAGGGCGCCCCGAGCCTCTGGGCAGACCCGGCCAATGGGGCTGAGGCCGCCAGGACACATCAGCCAGGCGGTCACCCAAACCGCAGGAGAGGCTGCCCAGAGAGGGAATGCAGACCGAGAAGAGGGCTGAGGACGCAACTCTGGAGAAGCACAACGGAAGGGAAGACACAAGGCTGAGAAGGCAGGGCAGGGGGCCATCCAAACACAGGGGCCTGCAAGAGGGAGGGCACCCACCAGAGCAGAAGCACGTGCAGACACGCACGCATGTGCTCACATGTACACCCCCACACCGTGCAGACACACACACAAACATGCCATATGCACGCGGATGCAGACACATGTGCGTGCCCACGCCCACTCGGGGCAGCTTGCTGGTTGCAGACAGAACAGTAAACAGCAGACACCACGTGTTTAAGAAGTTTACAGTGAAGGGACAGAGCGTGGTGGTTGAACTTTGAAGGGGACATAACATAAAAACCAGAGACTTGTTTAGATTTGATTAATTCATCCAACAACTACCCAAAGACTACCTACTCTCATGGGGGCACTACCATGAACTACAGGGCAACGAATACTGACTGTCAATCTATTTCCTAGATTCTAAGATGTCTTCACATTTCTGATTTCAGTGGGAATTTTAACATACCTCTCCCACAGGTATGTCTGTCAAAGGTGCTAAGGACCAAGGAAACATAGCACACAAATGATGACAAACTCAGAACCGCAGTGATCACTGCGGAGGTTGTAGCCAGACACACACGAGGAAGACTGAGTGGAGTAGGGCCAGTCTCCTGGCACCAAGAAAGATCATTTCAGAGAAGGACAGAAGGTCAGCATACCCAGTGCTACAGAACACAGATGTGACCAGGACCAAACCCCTTGGCACCAGGCAGGTCTGCAGAGACCCTAGCAAGAGCCAACTCGTGATTCTGGGGCTAAAAAGGCTAACATGAAGAGATGTGAGGAGACGGGGGGCACTGAAGACACACTCGGCACAGGACAGGGACAACTGCTACCACGTTCAAAGGCTAAGAGCAGCACGAAGCCAGGATGAGAATGGTAAAAACTGAAGAATGGAAGCCTTGAAGAGCTGCACAGAGTGGAGTCTCCAAGAAGCCGTGGAAAGTGTGGTCCTTGGAGCTCAGGGAAGCTGCCCAGCCCCAGGGGCAGCAGCTCATGCTGAGAGCTCCACAGCAGGCCATCCTAAGCAAGCTCCTTACCATCCCTGTTGCCTGTCGGTAAATATCAATACCTTCCAGGTGGCACACACATACCATTTTAGATGCTGAGTGCATGAGACAGACAAAACCCCTGGCCACAGAGCTCACGTTTTAGCAGAGAGACTGACAAGTAACAACTAAGAAAAACTGAGAACCGTTCAAGAAAAAACAAAGCAAGGAGTTGGGGAAGGGGAGGCAGCTTCAAAACGGGTGGGCAGCAAAGGCCTCGCAGCCAACGTCCACCTGAAGGTAGAGGAGTGGGCCGGGTGGGTAGCTGGGGTGGGAGGAGGGGACATTTCAGGCAACAGCGAGAAGAGCAAAGGCCTCCGGATAGGAGCGTGGGGTGGCAGGTGACAACAGTATGCCCAGTGGGGAGAGAGGAGGCCAGATCAATGAGGGCGAGGGAGAGCAGGACTCTGGCTCTTATCTTGAGAGATGGGCCACTGGGCAGGAGGGTCCAAGCGGTGAGGTCACATAATCCAAGGTCAGCAGTGGCAACCAACCCTCAGGCAAGCCCTGTTCTAAGCACTTTAGGTACTGTCACTCACCAGCTCTCACACAGCACTGTGAGAAAAAGTTAAGGATAGAGAAATGAAGCAACTTGCTGGAGGTCACACAGCTAGAAAGTGGTGGAGCTGCTTTACCACCCAGGTAAGCTGGCTCCAGTCTGTACTGCCTCGGGATTACAGTCTTGCAGTTTAAAAGAACCACTGTAAGTCCAGAAAAACCCCAGGTGGGTGGACAGTAGGAGGAGCAAGGGTGAGAGCAAAGAAAAGAATAAAGAGGCTCACCGGGAGCTTGGACCAGCATGTCACGCTGGAGGTGGTGAGAAACTGTCCTAAGGGTTGCATGGAGGCCTAGGAGTGACTCCATACTCAAGGACAGAAATGTCACATGCAGAGGTGGTGAAGGCAGCATGGGGAGTGTTTGGGGTGAGTGAAGATCACAGTTTAGGTTTACACATGGCTACTTGGCATCAAAGTAACGCGGAGGGATGTGGAAGAGGCAGCCACAGGCATAAGGCTGCAGCTCAGAAGGGAGGCGAGTGCTGGAGATGGAGATGCAGATGTCAAGGAGAGACGGCATTAAAGCCAGGAGACTGGACGAGATCACCAAGGAGTAGAGGGCAGCTCCAACCTGAAGCCAAGACTGGGCAAACCAGTCAGACTCACTTTCGTACCCCCAAGGTCACGGTTAGATTATAAAACCCCTGGGAAGTGCCCTGCATAGTGGCTGGCCACAAAGGGCTCAAAGGGTGGCTCTCCTGCCATCGGCCTCACTACTGCTTCAGCTGACCGCACACACGGATGCAAACCTTGCTTGCCAAGTGGACCATAAGCCAGCAGCAGACTTGCAGCAGGCTCCCCTGGATCCCGACACAGGGTAAAACCGAGACGCTTGGACAGTGCCCTTCACTGGAGTCCGCTTGCTGGGCTGGCATGGAGGTGCCGTCTGTGATGGTCCAGCGCTGTGGCTGCTGCCTTTCGCTCAAGCCTCTCGGCGCTGCAGCCTCCCGCCCAACCCAGCAGCCGTATGACCTCATCCCGTCCTTTTGTCATCCTCCATCGGCCTCACATCCCGCACTTACAGGCGGCACTGCCGACTGGCCATTCACTCCCTCTGGTGGGTGACCGCCTGTGGCAGGGTTTGGCCCACTCTACCGCCGCCAGGAAACAGGATCCCCGCCTAGCGGTTGGCCTGGCACAGTCCCCAGCCCCAGAATGGACTGTCGTGCACCGGGTAACAAGGTACATGCAAGCATGCAAACGACAAATCAAGTTCCTACCCTGAGCAACCCAAGTCCATCGGACGACACCTGACAGGTAACACTGTCAACAGGTTGCCACCTTCCACTTATTTCTATCATGATCATTGTTACGACAAAACCACATCCTGATCACCTACGTGACACTCAGTCCGTGAGCATTTGGTGAAGACGGGCGACTTCTCAGATTTCCCAAACTGTGTTACACCCGGCAGGGTCCTGGGCGAGCACCGCCCCTGTTGGTACCTTTCCCGCCTGAAAGCCATCTATGGCTTCGGGCCCGCGGGACGAGGGGCCTCCTCACACCCCGGTGTCTGCCCGGGCGGAAAGCGACCGGCGCGGCGCCCCCCGGCTCGGGGGCCGCCGCCGCCCCCGGCCCCAGCCCAGACCCCGGCCCCGGCGGGCCCCCCGCCCGCGCTCCGAGGCCCGTGGCCATGCCGGGACTCGGAGAGGCCAGGCCCGCCCGCGCCCCCCAGCCCGCCCGACCCCGGCCCGCGGCCTCGGCCCGGGAGGGAGGGAGGGGAAGGGCGCGCCTCACGCAGGCCGCAGCGCCGCCCGCCCGCCCGCCCGCTCGGCCGCGGGGCGCCCCTCGCGCCCCGCACCTACCTCCGGCGCCCGCGGCCGGCGCGAGCTGCCCGCAGCCCAACTGCAGCGGAGACCCCTTCTGCCCGGTCGCCGCCGCCGCCGCCCTCCAGAAGGGCCGCGCGGGCGCTCTCCAGTCGCCGAGACCCGCCTGCCGCGCGGAGCGAGCGGAGGGCGGACCTTGGCGCGCGCCGCCAATCCTGCGCGCGGCCACCCCGCATTGGGGGAACCGCAGAGCGGGCTGCAGAGGCAGCCAATCGGCGGCGCGCGGCGCTCCCGGCCACGGCGCGCGGCCCAATGGCGCGGGCACGCGGGCGGGACCAGGCGCTGAGGCCGCGGCCGCGCTAACGGTCGCCGCTGGGGCGGGGCTCGTGGCGCGGAGGACGGCGGCCGCGAGGGGCGCCGGGAACGGGGAGCGCGGGTGACGCCGGGAACGGGGAAGCGCGGAGGACGCTGGGAACCGGGAGTAGAGGGTCCCTCTTCTGTGTGCACGGTGAGGACGAGACTGTACACATAGAGACATCACCCGTTTTCGATTTAAAAGCATTAAACGTAACCACTAGGGGGAAAAAGACAAGTGTGCGCAAGTGTCTGGCACTTTTCCATTTGCTGATCCTGCGCGAGGAACCTTGACAAAGGTGCTGAGCCATGGAGCAGGGACCGCTCTTGCTGAGGCGGGAATTCCCAGGAACGCTGGGAACACGCTCTCCCGTCTGCAGCCGGCACGGTGGCTGCTGCAGACAAAAGCCAGGGGTGCTAGACCAAGGGCAAAGAATGAGAAACAGACGGGGGTTGTCAGTTTGGCAGAGTTGCAGAGTTCCCACCCGCCCCAGACTCTCACTAACGGCAAAGTGAATACAGTGATTTTTCCAGAAATAACCTGGGAGACCCCTTCACCGGGTGACCGAAGGTGCACACGACCAACATCAGAGGATGCACTTGAAAGTTGTGTGTTGCTTTGTTAATGATGCCTCGATAAAAAAAGAAAAAAGCACCAGTAAAGGGACGTATGGAGGGCTTCCTGAGAGGGACATATATCCACATTAAAGCCCCAAAGGCAAAACCTGAATGTAATCGTGAAGAAAGATCCAGCAAACCCATAGGAGGGCCCTTCTACCCAAAAAACGGGCCAGTGGTTTTCGGAAAGTGTCAGGATTGTTCAAGTCAAAGACTGAGGAGCTGTCTTGGACTGAAGGAGAGACAACTAAGTGGGATGAGGGGTCTGAACTCAGACAAGGGTTATTAGCAGGACAGTTGGTAAAATTCAGAAAAGTTCAATGCTAATTTCATGGTTGTAATACAGTTTACTGTGGTTAGGTAAAGTTACAGTCGGGAGGAATTGTGCAAAGGATATTGGATTCTTCTATTTTTTTCAAGTTTGTGGCAAGTTGAAATCATTTCCTACAAAAAAGCGGGGCAGGGGTGCTGCAGGTGACTAAGCTGGAGGCCTACCCAGGCCCTTCCCTCCCTGCCGGCCCCTCTGCTTGTCAGGCTGCGCCAGGGGACAGCACCAGGAACCCCAGTGGACACCGAGCCCTGTAAGGGTCTGGCTCCTGGACTCAGCCAGCTGCTGACTTTGTCCAGTGCAGTCAGAGCCCATGGGAACCCTCAGCACACCACCCTCCAACTAGCCACCTCGCCACGCTTTGTTGCTTGGTGAGGTGGGAGCCCCGCCTACCCCAGTCAGACCTGAAACTTCAGCCCTGCACACTACAGCCAACTTCCACTCAGCCTGGCACCAACTGGGTGATGGACAAGGACCTTACCACGGGACCTCCCCACCATCCACACCTGGCTCCAGCCTTGGAATCACAAAGATCAACACCTGGAAGTTGGAACTCAAGCCCAAGCTGGGGGAGGAAACTTTTCCCTCTGGAGAGCCTGGATGATGCCATCTGCTGGCAGATGAGACCAAAAGATGGGATGATGGGGGGTGTGGGGGGGCGGTCTCTGTGGGCAGAAGGCCAGGAGCCCAGGCCCGATGGGATTAGACCCAAGGTCTCCTGTGTCCCTGGGCTGGCCATGTGTGCTCGTAGACATGCCTCTGCCTCGCTCAGCTCCATGCCTCCAGCCTCTGTGCCTGCACACCTCCGCTTGGCCATCCTGGAGCCGGAGAACAGAAGCAGCTCATCTGGGAAGGGGCAGAGTCTCCTCTGCCCAGGAGAAGAGACCCATGTTGGGGACTCAGGGATCAGATGCATCTGGTGACAAGTACAGAGGCCTTTCTGGGCATGTCAAAAGCAATTCTAGGAGACAGCTTCCCAGGGTCCCAAACCCACCTACAGCACCGACCTCACTTCCGGACACTGGCCTGAGCCAATGGGGCCTGGGAAGGGCCAGCACTGTCATCCTCAGCTCTAACATCTACCTGGCCTGGGCATCAGATTATAGGGGTAGGCAAGAGAGGAAAGGTCCCGACTTCCTGGAGCTCTTGTTCCGACAGGAAGGCACACAAGAAACAGTCAATCAAAATGCACAGCATATCAGACAGCGCTTTCTGTTACAGATCAACGCAGAGCAGGGACCGAGGGAGGGAAGACTGCCTTAGACAGGTCGACTGCCTGGGACTTCAGCAAAGACTTGCGGGACATGAGGGGGAGTGCGGTTTGGGTGTCTGGGGAAGGAGCCCTTCAGGCAGAGGGGACAGCGAGAGCAAAGGCCCTGGAGCAGGAGCAGTGGCAAGAGCCAGGGCAAGTGAGGCGAAGGCAGGGGTGCCAGGCAGCAGGGTGAGCCGGGTGTGGCAGGACCCTGAGGACCACCTTGCCCTCATCCTCTTCCCTCCTGGCCTCGTGGCTCTGCCTCCCCACCCACCTGGGGACTGAGGGGCTGTTACTGTGTCTCCCCAAGCCTCAGTTTCCTTGTGTGCAAAGCAAGGTCACAATTTTTTAATCTTGCTTGGGCTGCCATAACAAAGTACGACAAGTGAGGGGCTTAGACAACAGAAAGTTATTCTCACAGTTCTGGAGGCTGGACGTCTGAGAGCAGGGTGTCACAGGGCCCTGCTCCCTCTGAGGGCTCCAGGGGAGGACGTGCCCCGGCCTCTCTCCCAGCTTCTGGGGTTCCTTGGCATGAGGCAGCCCAGCTCCAGTCTTCACAGGCGTCTGCCTGGGTGCCTGTCTGTCCCTGTGTCCACGTTTCCCCCTTTTTATAAGGACACCACTCATATTGGATTAGGGCCACCCTAACGATCCCATTTTATTGATTACCTCTGGAAAGACCCTAACAAGATCACCTTCTGAGGTACTGGTTGCTGGGGTCCAACATATCTTTTGGAGGGCACACAGCTCAGCCCATAATGATAGAAACAAGTCTTGGGCTGCCCCTTCCTCAGGGGCTCCAAGCTGCCAGGGAGCCCAGGGCAGGCAGGGGCAGAGGGGACCATGACAAGTGTGGGGAAGCTTTTCCTGTGCAGGCTCATCCCTGGGGCAGCGGCAAACATCTGAAAGGCTCTTCAGATGGCTTTGCACCCAGTCCAGCGGCGCCCCACGAGAGCAGACCTGCCTGGCCAGGGCAGGCGCTGGTGTGGGGACCTGGTCCATTCCATGGTGCGGGGTGGCCTGCTGAAGCAGACAGAGGGTGTTGGCAGTGCCAAAGCTGGGAGCCTGGCTAGCCATGGCTCAGCTGGACATGTGGGTGGGGGGCACAGGCTGCATCATACTGGGAGCCCCTTCATGCCTGGCTGTGGGGTGGTGAGCAGGAAGGGAGAAGGGATGGAGAGGCAGGTTGGGCCCAGTCAAGGTCTACAGCCCACTCGAGCTGTCACTGCACTGAGAAGGCCAAGTCGGGTCAGCCGCCGAGGCGGAGGGAAGCCTGAGTGTCAGCATTGGACACAGGACCCCCGAATGCCCAGCCCCAGCTGGGGACAGGAGCTCCAGGGTGCTTGCCCAAAACAAGGGCCCTGGGGTAGGACAGACTCCACCTGCTCTGTTACCTGAAGCCCAGCCCTTCCTGCCATCCCCTGGCCTCCACGGTCCAGCCCGTGTGCACGGCTCCCCGGGGCTCCCACCTGCACCCGGATGAACTCCTGGCTTCCGTCACAGTGCTCAGGAGGCCATGAGCAAAAGGGAAACGTGGAAGAGCCCTGCACTGGGGTCTGGGCCCCAGGAGCTCCTGGGGGCTCCCGCACAGCAGCTCTGGTCATCCTGTCACAGAGTCAAGGGCCTGGAATGCACTGGCTCACCACGGCCTCAGAGTTTTATTATCAGCGTCTCACATTCAAGTACAGAGTCTTATGAAGTTTAACTCCCTAGGAGAAGGGAAATGGCAGGGGCAACTGTGTCCCCTCCCTGAGATGGGCCTGCCCGGAACCCATGACCCCCCTGCACAGGTGGAGGCCTGAGAGCCTGCCGAGGCGGCCCATTGCACATGGATGCCCCCTCACAGGATAGCTCCACGCACAGGACCCCTCGGCACCCACAGAACCACCGGGCCCACCCAGCGGCCTGTGCCTCTGCTATGGAGGAGGTTTTCCTCATTCAAATGTGGCCCGTGTCCTCTCCAAGAGCAGGGCTGGTGGTCAGGAACTGGCTGCGCCCAGGAGAGGAGGGGCCGCCTTGAAACAGACATCCACTCTTGTTGTTGGGATCACAGCAAGACTCACTGGCCAGAAGCACGTGTGGGTGTTGAGAGGCACAGCTCTGCGTGTCTGGCTCGCACGGGGGGTGCGTGCCTGGAGGGGGTGCGTGCCTGGAGTGTGTGCATGTCTGAGCACGTGTGCACACGTCTACTGCCTGTAACGTGTGCGCACATGCATGATGGGTGTCACGTGTGCCTTGTGTGAGCTTCTGTGCATGGGCCGGGAGAGGCACAGCACACCTGGGCCTGCCGCACACCTGGCCATGGGCCTCTGTCATAAGGCTGGACCCCAAGCTTGACATGGGGATACAAACAGTTCACACACATCAGAGGGCTCTGGCCCTGGGGGACACTGGCCGAGTCACAGGCAGTACCTGTGACAGGGCCTCCTGGGAGCCCCGGCCACACCCAGGTAGGGGTTAGCTCTGCAGCCTGAACTCGTGGGTGGTGGTCTCCCAGCAAGAGGGGTCCGTGCCCAGCATGCTTCGCTCTGTGAAGGTCACGTGCCCATCTGCATCCACAAGGATGACCGTGTTGGTTCTGAAAGAGAGCATGGGGCCTGTGTTCAGCCCGCTGCCCCTGGACCCCTGCACGCCAATCAGAGCCCCAAATGGATCAGACCAGAGGTGCGAGGGGCTTTGCTGGGCACTGGCCTGGCTCAAGATGGGTCACAAAGAGCAGCAGCCTCAGTCTCAGTGAGCAGAGGGTCCCCTGTGAGGCATCAGGGCCCTGAGCCGCAGGTCCTGCAGGCCCCTGCCCACAAGTCCTATCACCTCCCTTCTGAAACACCCCCAGGCCGCCCTGCCCACCCTCTGCAGCACGAGCCCTGATCGCCCACCACTCTCAGCAGGGTAGGCCCTGGGCTGACCAGGCACTTCCCTGCTCAGAACCCCCAGGGCTCCCAGCACCACCACCGGGGACTGCCCAGACACCTGCAGTGGCTTCTAGACAAGGTGGAGATGGGGAGGAGCTGGGGAAGGTGGGCTCCTCCAGGGACAGGAGGGCGCACCAGCGGCCCATCCGTCGTACCTGGTGCCGTAGTCCGGGCAGCGCACACACACAGCTGCGTACTTGCTAAGTATGGGCTGCACGTACTCTCTGCCCTGGTCCTCAATGGCCGGGTCCGGCAGCTGCCTGAAGGACAGAGGAGGGGTCACCACTGGCCGCCCCAAACCTATCCTCGCCAATGCTCAGCCACAGCCCTGCAGCGCCTGAGGAGCCCACCAGCCTCAGAGAGGGGCTGGGGGAACCACAAGGGTTGTTCCGGGCACTTTCCAGGTCAAGGCCTCGAACCTCCATCTAGCCTTTCACTCAGGGCTCCACTGTGGGGGCCAGTCCCTGTGCTGGGGCCACCAGGAGCTTCCCAGGGCCCAGGGACACGAGTTCATGGGCTCTGTCCGGTCAGAGCCGTGCAGGCCCTGTGGAAGGACAGTAGCCACCTCTCAGAGCCGGGGCCGGGGGGGCGGGGGTGTGTGTGGCACGGCACTCACGCCTCTTCATTGTTGAGCACGTCCAGAAGCTGGGCAGCCAGGGCGTCCTTGGGGAGCGCCTGGCCCCGCTCCACGGCCTCCAGGAAGAGCCGCTTTCCGAAGCACAGCTTCCTCCAGGGCGTCTCCAGCAGCGCGTTGCTTAGCCCGTAGGTCCCTGCAGGAGGGGTTGGCTCGGCCAGCGTGGGAGGTGGGGGGGACTGTGGCTGGAACTCCACCCACCCGCCCCTTCTCTACATGCGTCCAGGAACTCGCCAGGCCTCGGGGGTGGGTGATCGGAATCAACAGCAGAGGAAGGTCCGTCCATAAGTTGGGGGAGCCCAACGTGGGGGTCCACCTGAGAACGTCAAGGCTGGAAGCACCACAGCCTGAGGCCAGGAGGTGGCCCACCGGGGTCAGCCGGGGTCAGGGAGCCCGCTGACCTTGGCAGGCCCGAGGCGTAGGCCAGGTCCCTGGCTGGGGGCGCTGTAGGGGCTTAGAGCAAGTTTCTCAGGACAAGTTCTCAAGAAGAGGCCCAGCCTCAAGGTGGAAAGGCCCCCAGAGCCTCTTCTCAAGAGGCAGCAGGGGCAGCCAGCCTGGAGCCATGCGGCCTGAAAAGATGCACCAAGGACAGAGAGCCACCACCCTCTGCTGCTACCAGACTCTGGGCCAAGCCTGACACGACTACTGCCACTTGGCACTGTGGGGCCCACAGTCACACCGCCAGCCACGGCATCACCGCACTGTATCCATCAGGCACCTGGCAGCCACATGCAAAGAACAGAGCAGGACCCCCACTGCGCACCACACACAAGAGTCCAGTGAAAACGTCTCAAAGACCTGAACATGAGAGCTAAAACCAAATAGGCGAAAAGCTACACAACCTTAGATTAGGAAATGACTTCCTAGATGTGACACCAAAAGCATGAGCAACAACCAAAAAACCCATAAAACTGGACTTCATCAAAATTTAAAATGATGTACTTCAAAAGAGACCAACGAGAAAGGGGAAAAACCCACAGGATGGGAGAAAATATTTGCAAATCTTGTAACTGATGAGAGACTTGTATTTAGAATATATAAAACAATTCTTACAATTCAATAACAAAAAGACAACCCAATTTAAAAACAAGCATAGGACTTGAATAGACATTTCTCCAAACAAGATACACAAATGACCAACAAGCACATGAAAAGCTGCTCAACGTCATTAACCATCAGGGAAATGCAAATCAAGGCCACAGTGAGACCGCATCATACCCCAGAACAGCTGCGATCAAAAAGTCAGACAGTGACAAGTCTTGGCGAGGATGGGAAGAGACTGGAACCTCATAAGTTGCTGCTGGGAATATAAAATGGCACAGCTGCTTTGGAAAACAGTCTGGCAATTCCTCAAAAGGTCAAATGGTTACCTTATGATCCAGCAACTCCACTCCTAGGTCCACACACAAGAGAAATGAAAACGTTTCCCCACAAAAACATATAACAAACGTTCACAGCAGCATTTTCCAAAATAGTCAAAAGGTGGAAACAACCAAGTGTCCTTTAGTGGATGATGGATAAACAAAAGGCAGAAAATCCACACGATGGAATATTATTCAGCCATAAAAAGGAATGGAGCCCTCACTCATGCTACAGCATGGATGAACCTTGAAAGCATTACATAAAGGGAAAGAAACCAGACACAAAAGGCCACATATTGTCTGCATCTGTTTATGTAAAATGTGCAGGATGGGCAAATCCACAGAAACAGAAAGGAGGCTAGTGGTTTCTAGGGGCTGGGGACAGTGCCAGTGGGTGTGGTTTCTTGGTGAGGTGATGAAAATGTTCCGGAGTTAGATTTTGGTGATGGTTGCACCACTTTGTAGATAGAGTAAAAACAACTGAAGGCACACTCTAATGAGTGAACTGTATGACATGCGGTTATGTCTCAATGGAGCTGTTGTTTATTTTTTTAAGGGACATGGATCAGGTGCAGCTGGCTCAGGGATGAAATAGGACGGAGTTCAAAAGAATTCCTTCTAAGCAGCAATTTAGCAGAAAAGAAGCATCTCTAGTCACAGTTGAGGGCATCATGGGGTGGTTTCCAGATGCTTCCACAAAGGCCACAGAATTGCGGGGGGAGGTCTCTGTGTCCTTTTGTGCCTTTTAGCTTCCAATTCTCTCCAGACAGCCAGAGACTCGGTACAGGGGGAAGGCAACCTAACCTGTCTGTAGCCTCATGTGGACCAGGTGAGGCCATGGCCACTACTGGGCACAAGGTACACGAACGGCCAAAAAACAGCACCAGGAGGGAAATCAGCAGGGACCCGGTCCCTGAAAGTACTGGGGTCCCCACAGGAGCAGCCCCACCCTGTGCCACCCACCAGAGCAGCCTCACCTGGTGCCAGGGCAACAGGCTCACGCTCCCCCCGGTTTCCATAGTAGCAAATGACATCTCCCTTCTCTGTGCTGCAGACCGGAGGGGAGACAGGGTCAGATGGGAGCCACAGGGCGTCCCCAACCCTCGCCGCCGGGCAAGCCCCACAGCCCGGGCCCCAGCACTCGGGTGGCACCATCCGTGCAGGCACCGCTGTTGCTGAGCTATCTGCCCCCAACCCTGCCCAGCATCTCTGTGTGTGCCAACATGGGCCTGGCCACACCCCAACTGCCACTTCCCCACGTGGCCCCAGCTTCCTGCAGAGCCCCAGCAACCTGACTCCTGAATCTCACAGCCAGCGCAGGCGCCCTAGACTCGAGGGCCTGCACCTCCCTGGGGGACCTGCTCCTCCCGCCTCTAGGACAGGCCCCTCTGCCCCTGCTCCTGCCCTGCTCCCAGCCGGTCTGCCCCACCCCGGGCGGAGAAAGCTCCCGGCCACCATATCCTCTGGCGACAGGGCCCATGGGTGGCATGGACAGCGTCACTGCCCCAGGAGCCATCTGCCAAGCCCCTTGCAGAACCCGACGTGAGCCTCGTCACCCACTCTGCCCAGCACTCGGCAGTGCCCGGCCACCATGGGGCCTGGGGTCTCTGTACCCAGCTGTGCCTGCACCGCCTTCTCCACCGGGGCACCTCTGCCACCAGACCACAGGGCAAGTGAGGTATGGCTCAAAAACGGGCTCCTCAGCCACAGAAGCGGGGAGGAGATGAGACAGAGGGGCCGATGTGGCCCGCGTGCCTACCCCTGGCCCTACTCCAGCTCCCACAGCAGGAGCTGGCGGCCCTCACACTGCCCCAGCTTGGCTCCCTGAGTCCCCAGGACAGTGGGTCTGGGAGGGGCTCGGCCCTCGGGACGCTCCCTGAGCCCACCAGGTGTAATGTCCCCAGAGAGGCTGCCACAGATGCCCCGGCTCCCGCTGCCTGCCAAGCCTGCAACCCGGCCCTGTGCGGCGCCTGGGGGCTGCGTCCCCAGCCGGTAGACCCACCTTAGGTCGGCCGCTATGAGGTTGAAGCCATTGTACAGGTGGCCCTCTGCGGAGACCTTCTTCAGGTAGGACAAGCTATCCACGTCTGAGGTCAGAAACTGAGCCACGAGTTCACCTGCGTCAGGGGACACACGCCCATGGCCAGGGCGGTAGGACTGAGCCCTTCTCCTGGGGAGACTGACGGTCCCCCACGGGACGGCCACACCTCAGTGACCCAGCAGCCAAGGAGGTCAGCACCAAGAACTCTGATTTTGAAAATTTTTCCTGTTGTGCCCCGACATGGAAGTCCAGCACGAGGGGAAACGTCTTCAGTGGGGACAGTATATGTCCACCAGATGGGCAGTGACAACACGGCAGTCGGGAGCCATGCCATGGCCAAAAGTGGGGGCCATATGGCCAGGCCGAGGGTGGCTCCCGGAGTTGCCAGCCAGGGGGCTTCAGGGCCCCGCCTTTCGCCACTCCTCCCGTCCCTCCAGGTGCCCAGGAAGCCCCGCCCCCCGCCCCGTACCTCGGCCCCGGGCGTCCCGGTCCAGCCGTGGCTGCAGGTAGTTGGTAAGTGCCGCCAGCTTGCCCCGCGTGTTGATGCCCAGCCATGTGCCGCCTTCCTTGCCTTCCTCCATGTCCAGCCCTGCGGCAACAACAGTGTCACCACCAGCCCAGCAGCCCTTGTGGTGAAACGGGGGCTGGAACTCTGCAGTCTGAGGCAGCCCCTGGGGACCATGGGTATGTGGGAGAGACCCTCGCCCGGGACAACACCTGATGGCCCTGGGAGCCCCCGGCCCCTGCACAACACATCCTGGTGCCTGGGTGGGCATCAGGCTGGGGGCGCAGCACCAGCTCCATCGCAGAAATCGCGCCAGGCCCCGGCCCCGCATCCTGATCAGGTGTAGGGACACCGGCTGTCCTCCCTAGGCAGGACCCAGCCCTCGGCGGGCCCTTCACTAGGAGCCCCACAGGCTGCAACCCTCCATAACCGTGGGCCCCGCCGCAGGGCCAGCAAGGCCACGACAGCCCCAGGAGTGTCTTCCCAGGCCAGAGGGGCATTTCACTTGACAACTGGAGTGAAAATAGCTAAGTCATTAACATATTATTATTATAACAGTAATAAGTTATAATAGTAGAAGAACTAAAAGCTGCAAAGATCTGAAAGAAGCAAAACTGTCCTTATTTGTACAAGATAGGATCGTATGTGAAGAAGATCCAAAAGGATCTACAAAAAAAACCTACTGGAGTAAGTGAATACTTGGCAAGAACTGGAAAATGAAAATTCAATTAATCATTTACAACAGCACTGAAAGATTTTCAAAACACTTAGGCAAACGTTACAGGAAAGACGTGTGTGCTGAGGGATGGACGTCAGGCAGACCTAGTTAAAGGAGGAGCCTTGCTCCTTGCCCGGGACGCTCACATGGTTAAGAGGACAGTTCTCCCGGAGTATGGAGAAAAGGGAGCCTCCTACACTGTTGGTGGGAATGTAAATTGGTGAAGTCACCGTGAAGAACAGTATGGAGGTTCCTGAAAAAACTAAAAATAGAGCTACCATATGATCCTGCAATCCCACTCCTAGGCGTATACCCAGAGAAAACTAATTCAAAAAGATATATGCACCCCAATGTTCATAGCAGCACTATTCACAATGGCCACGACATAGAAACAGCCTAAATGTCCACTGACAGATGAATGGATAAAGAAGATGTAGTACATATATACAATGGAATATTACTCAGCTATTAAAAAAAACAAAATAATGTCATTCACAGCAACATGGATGGAAATTATTGTACTAAGTAAAATAAGTCAGAAAGAGAAAGACAAATATAATATGATATCACTTGTTTGTGTCATCTGAAATATGACACAAATGAACATATCTATGAAACAGACTCATAGACATAGAGAACAGACTTGTGGATGCCAAGTGGGGGGGAGGGGAGGGATGGAGTGGGAGTTTGGGATTAGCAGATACAAACTATTACATATAGGATGGATAAACAACAAGGTCCTACTGTACAGCACAGGGAACTATATTCAGTATCCTATAATGAACCATAATGGAAAAGAATATACACATATGTATGTATAACTGAATCACTGTGCTAAACAGCAGAAATTAAAACAACCTTGTAAATCAATTGTACTTCAATAAAAAAATAATAAAACAAAACAAAAAAAGGATGACAGTTCTCCCCAAATGACCAAGAGGGTGACCATGATCCCAGTGAAGACCCCATGGGCTGGTGTTTATAGAAATTCATAAGCTGGCCCTGAAGTTCAGGACGTCCACAGCAGTCCCAACAAGCAGCAAAGCCACAGGGCTCACCTCAGCTGGTTCCCAGACTTGCTCAGAGGCTGCAGCACCCGAGACATGTCAGTGGGACACAAGAGTCCACAACGGCCCCACACGGATGTGATCAACTGACTTTCAGCCAGTTTGCCATAGTCATGCACAGGCCAGAGGAGGCCCACTGGTCGGTGCTGCGGGGACAGCCGGAGAGGTGGGCGTGGCTCAGCCCCTGCTTTGCACTGCACGCAAAGTTTAATTTGAGACAAATTACAGACCTAAGCATAAACCCAAATCAGGAGGCTTCCAGAAGCACACAGAGGAAAATATCTTTATGACCTCATGATAGGCAAAGACTTTGTGGGTAAGACACAAAAAGAACAAGTCACAAAACAGAAGATAAACAGCACTTCATTAAAATAAAATATTCTGCTCACCAAAGAACATCATGAAGAAAATGAGACAGTGACACAATTATCCAGCAAAGGATTCACATCCAGAGCACAGAGGCCTCTGACAAACCAACAACTAGAAAGTGAATGAAGCTTCCACATCTGGCCAAACAACACAGTCCAGACAAGGAAGATACCACGGTGGAATTTCTGGAGATAAAAACTACAGTGTGTGAGATGAAAAATATGCAGAATGGGATTAAAAGCAGATTAGACACTAAAGAAGAAAAGGTTAGTGAACGTGAGTAAAGGATATGGCGATAGAAACCACCTAAAAAGGAGCAGGGACAACAGAGGGCTTTTAAGTGAACCAAGCATAACCGAAGGGCACTGACCACTTCAGATAAACTGACACACGTGTGACCAGGGGGCTGAGGAGAGACAGTAGGAGACAGAGGACTCGAAGAAACAGAACCCAGAGGTTCCTGAATGCCTAACAAGTCCCCAGCAATGCTGACGCTGCTGCTACAATTCTGTGCACGCTGGGCGACGCCAGACAGAGGGAGGGGGTGGACCTTGGGGTCTCCCAGGCCTGAGCCGGGGGCGGTGGCCACGGGTCCACCCAGCACTGTGGTGCAGCAGGGCCACCCTCCCGCTTGGCAGGACCTGTATCAACGCGCCAGGGGCCGCCTCCAAACCACTGCAAGGAGTGAAGGACTTGAGTGGCTGGGGCTCCCCAGCGGGATGGGCACTGACCAGGGCAGGAAGCGTGGACCCCAGGGGCCAGGACGGCCAAGGGGCCCAGGCAGGCTCACCCTTCGTCTGAGCCTCCATGTCTTCATCTACAAAGTGCCCCAGCAGTGCCTCCTGCCTCCCTCCCGAAGGATCAGCTCCTCACCCTTCACCTCAACCGTCCTGAGCAGCCCCCACTTCAGCCTCCCACGCGTGCCCTGCAGCAGTGACACACACGGCCTGCCCTCTCCCCACGACTCCTTTGTTCCGTCCTAGCCCAGGATGGTCCTGGCCATGCCCACAGGCTCCCCTCGGACCCCCTCCCATGGCCCAGCAGGCCTGCCACTGGACCTCTGGGGGAGCCATGGCCAGCCTGGCTGAAGACCCCACACACATGACCGCTGTGCCCAGAGCTCAGGCAGCAGGGGCCTCCCCGCCAGCCCCACCCCGCACTCCCGAGCAAGCAGGTATCCAAGGTCTCCCGAGCAGCTTCTGGTGAGGCCGAGAACCAGCCTCACCCTCCTGCACTCCCACCCTCATGCACTCCCACCCTGAGGGCCCCACTCACAGCTCTCCCCACCTCCTTCCAGACTCCCACTTTGGTCTCCCCACTCCCATCCTCCTCCCACGCAGCACCACTGCCTGACCCCAGTCCACACTGGAGGCCTTCGTGGATGCTCCAGACGAGCTTCCAGGCTCCGCAGGCAGAGGGTCCCTGGCCCGGCCGACACCTGTCTGCACAGCCTCCGAGTGGCCCCTGCCTGCAGGAATAGGAGCTGCTCCCTCCAAAGGGCCCGCGGAAGCCACCGGCAGGGCAGGCGGGGTGTGGTCACCTCCCCTCCACCCCATGGGCTCCTCATCGGCTCCCCCAGCCCTGCCAGCCAGGCCTCTGCTCCCCAAACTCAGGCCACTCTCCCTGGGGCAAGGGGTGCATGTGTCTAACAGAGTCACATTCACATACACATGCATGTACACACACGTGTGCACGCATAACCATGATGCTCCGAGGTGACCGGTCTGAAACCATGCCTCACATGAGACCAACTGCAGCGGACGATGGATCCAAATACAACCCCCACCTTCCAGCTGCTCCCCCTGGGGATCCGGGCACGTGAAGCTGAGTGGACAGTGCTGGGTGGACAGCAGGGACACTCACCGCTGAGGACCTCATTGTTGTTCCCCCAGAAGTCTGCAGCCCTGGAAGGCCGGTGGTAGAACTCGTCCCTGTTGGCGGCCAGGATGAGCCTGAGGAGAGACCACGGCTGAGGGTCTCGCGTGAATGTGGAAGAGTCACGTGTTTCCTCTCGTTACCAAGACAAAGCACCTTGGTAGGCAGCAACATGGGCAAGTCCCAGAGAGGACGGGAACCCACTGGGAGGAGGAGATGGGTGGCTGCCGGCTCAGCCCTGGAACGGGGCGCTGGGCAGGCGTGTCTTCCTGCCCTTCAGTCCCTCCCCTGAGGACACCCTGTAAGCCTCCCACCAGCGCTCAGGGACTCCGAGGGCTGCTCCATCCCGCGCTTTGGGGTGTCTTTGGGAGGGAGCAAGTGAGGACTTCTCTGTGTTTCACTAGTGTTTTGTATTATGAATCAAACAAGTATTTCTTTGGCAATTAGCAAAGACATCGATGTTTTCAAGGCCCTGGTTTTGAGGTAACAAAACGAAGTTTTCGGTCAGCTTTGCCATTTAAAATAACTATGAACACAGACGGCGACTGAGTGGGCAGGGTCACCCCACAGGGTCCCGAAGACCCCGGCGTCTAAGAGTGGCCACCGAAGGACCCTCCAAGCACCGCAGGCGGGCACAGCACCTGGGGCCACAGTGGGTCTGAAACCAAGTTCGCTGAGTCAGGGGTTAGATCCTCAGAAGTCTTCAGAAGTACTGTCTGCATCGACTCATTGATTTCATGAATATCGGCTTGTGGTAAAGTGTGAATTAACAAAGACACTCACAAAATTGAAGGCAAAACCAGTGCTGGCACCCCAGGGCCCTGGAAGTGTCTCACCTGTGTGCACGTGTCACCCCCCACTTGTGCCTCCCACGCCACCTCGGCCACAGGCACTGGCACTGCCAGGGACCACCCTGAAAGCCTCACCACCCTCAGGATGCCTGTCTAGCCTGTGACCTGGCTCTGCCTCCACACAGCTGGCTCTAAGGCTGCGCCAGGTTCAGGCGCAGGGGGCGGGGGGTTCACTGTCCCTGACACAAGCTGCAGCTGCTCACATAAGGATCCTTTGCAGCTCCAGCTGCCAGGCCCTGACCCGGACCCCAACCCCTGCCCCTTGCCATGTCTGCCCTGTCCCCCTGGGACCCAGTCCAGGACCCATCCTGGCAGAAGCTGGCTAAGCAGCAGTCAGGAGGACAGAGCAATGCCCCCCTACCCGGGTGGGGAGACTTGGCTGCAGGGCCTGGGCCCCCCAGAGGGTGCAGTGGCTCCTGTGCCAGGATCAAGCATCCTCCTTCAGGTGCCCAGCGCCCCTCACCTGCCCGCTCACCTGACCCCTGCAGTCGCAGGGGACGGGAGGCTGAGCCCGAACCAGGCCGGTGCCGTGGCTTCTGGTTCCCATTCTTGTGAAGACTCCAGAAAGGAAAACTTAGGGAAAAGAACAAAGCGAAAGAGCAGTGCCTCTGTCCTCTTACTCCAACTGCCCATTTGTAGACAAGAAGCGAGATGTTTGTTAATTGCTAGGAGCCTGAAGCACTGGGTTGCTTTCATCAGAGTCGCTGTTTAGCCGAACTGCTGGTGGGCATGATGGTACCACGTGGAGGCTCCAAGCGAGAGGAAGCCCCTCACTCCTCACTTCTGAGTCCAACTGGGCACAGTCATGGAAAGGGTCTGTCACCATTTGAGGGGTGGGTCTGGGCACAGTCAGGGGAGGGATCTGCACACCGCCGGGGGGAGTTTGGCAGCAGTGACGGGTGCACAGGCCAGGGTCCAATGAAGTGTCCAGTAGTGACGACCTCCATGGAAGCCACCCCAAAGGGCAACTGCTGGCCCAGCAGTCCCTCCAGGTGGAGCCAGTAAAAGCATCAGACTATGGGTCTAAATGACATTTTGACAAAGAGGGTGGCTTCCCCCATGGTGACAGCCATGACAGCGCCATACTGACGGGAGTATGCTGGTCTTCTATGCAGCCAAACATCTACACAAATGCGGCAGCTTAAAGCAACGCCCACCCATCATCTCGGCCAGGTGCTCAGCCCCGGGGTGACACAGGTGTTGGTCGGCGGGGTCTCCGCTGTTGCAGGGGTCAGTTCCTTGAAGCCATGTGACTGGGGGCCCTGGTCTCGCCTGCCATGCACCGAGGTCACTCGCCTCCTGGAGGCCGCCCTCAAGCTCTGGCCACGGGCCCCTCCAAGGGCAGCAGCTTACTCCCTGAGGAAGGGCTGGTCCCTCTGCGGGCCACCCTGATGAGGTCAGGCCCACCCAGGACATCCCCATCCCATGAACTCGGGGTCCCCTGATTCGGAACTTTCATCGTGTCGGCAAAATATGGAGGTTCCAAGTGCTGGGCAACCTCAGGCGTGGTGGGGGGTGCGGTGCAGAGGCCAGGAGCCCCCAGGGGTGACCCCAGGAGGGCGCAGCACCTGTGGGTGGGCAGGTATGCAGCCTGGAAGGCAGGTCAAACCCAAGGGCGCCTGGGGGATCATGCTGGGCAGTGCCTGGGGGGACATGGCAGTGGGATATGATGGGGGAGGGCTGCCACATCTGGAGGGATGAGCGCCCCAATATGGAGGACAGTGGGCTGGTGACATGGGGGTGGGGTGCAGACGAGGGGTCCATGACAGTCACGGCCCAGCCCAATATCAGGCGTGGAGCTGCTCTGCAGAGGCAGTTCACATGTACTCCCGGCTGCACTGGGCTGTCTCCCCTCCCTTCCCACACCCACAAGGGCACTTGGCTGAATAGCCCACAGGACACACGCTCTAAATCGGCTGCAGCCCAAGGAGGGGAGAGAGGCTTCAAGAACCCCACAGGCACAGTGGGGCTGGCAGGGCTGGCCTCATCTTTCAGGAACTAATTCTAGGGAGGCCAGAAAACAGGTTCCCGTGAGACTGGAAAGGACAAAGCCAGGAGCAGCACCGCCCACAGCATCTGAGTGAGGATGTCCCACTCTGTCCTTCAGGGCAGAGGTGATCTGTGTAGATCAATGCTTACACACGGCAGGGATGGCCACAGACCCAGATGGAAGAGTCCTCTGCAATCAGCTGACCCTGGAGCATTATTGACACAGGGGTGACCTTAGCTCACAAACACAGGTGAAAACAGGTGCGATGTAGAAGGTGCTGGAGCAGGGGACTGTGTGGGTCCCAGGCCCCGGACAGGCTTTGTGGGCAGCGGTGTCCAAGTGGACGGCGGCCCTGGGTCTGGGCCTTTCCGGCTGTGGGGAGAGGACCTAGTCTCAACGATGCATGATGACGAAGCGCCACAAAGACCCACTCCACCACCCAACATGAGGACACAGACCAAAGCTGCAGGGAGCCTCTGGCACAGCCATCAGAAGACACACGAGGAAATCAACTTGGTGGTTCCGTGTGATCCAGGATTTTCTGATTCTGGGTATATACCCAAAAGGACTGAAAGGAGGGCTGGGACAGGTACTTGTACACTAATGTCCACAGCAGCCGAGAAGCGGGAACAGTACAGGTGCCCGCCGACAGGATGGACACAGACGCAAAACGTAGTCCATCCACACAAAGGAACATTATTCAGCCTTAAAAAGGAAGGAAATCCTGACATGTTACAGTGTGGATGAACCTTGAGGACATTATGTTGAGTGAAAAAAAGCCAGACACAAAAAGAAAACATATGATGCTACTTCCATGAGGGACCTAGAAGAGCCAAGGTCATAGAGACAAAAAGGAGGAGGGTGGGTGCCAGGGGCTGGGGAAGGGGATGGGGAGATAGTGTTTGTTGGGGACAGAGTGTCAGTTTGGGAAGATGAGAAAGTTCTGGTGACGGTTACATGACAGTGTGACTGCTTAATGCCGCTGAGCCCTGCGATTAAAAATGGTAAATTTGGGCTTCCCTGGTGGCACAGTGGTTGAGAGTCCACCTGCCGACGCAGGGGACACGGGTTCGTGCCCCAGTCCGGGAAGATCCCACGTGCCACGGAGCGGCTGGGCTCGTGAGCCATGGCCGCTGAGCCTGCGCGTCCGGAGCCTGTGCTCCGCAACGGGAGAGGCCACAGCAGTGAGAGGCCCGCGTACGGCAAAAAAAAAAAA